CGCACTTCAAATTCTACTATTCAAAATCCCTATATTCCGTCACTGTGTGTGGCAATATTCAGCACATGGTGAGGCGTATTACGTCCGCACTTCAAATTCTACTGATACGTAATGCCGTCATCCAAGTGTTCGAATTCCGTTTGCTGTGTGAGCTGTATTGGAATACAATACGGCTTTGAATTAGAACACGAATGAATATTGAACACTACTTAATTACGCTTTTAATTAACAACTATTAAGCTTTTAATTAAGCAATTTTAATTTTTGTACACAGCTTGGAACGATCTGTGTGTGTCCAATTCAAGTTGTGACGGAATTAGTTTTCATGTGTCTAAATCCATTTCTCAACTTAATCATTTTCTAAAGGCTTTTTTATAAATATGGCAACATTTTGTGACGTTTCATCGTTGCTGACGCGTAGTGAGGTGTTTTGAGAGTCACGTGAAGCCAACATAACTTACGTAATGCATACGTTTTTTTATAGTTTTTCATTTCTCCATGCGTCCTTAATGTGTTGGAATATACCGCATTTACCCTATTTTTCTAATTTATTTATTCTGTCAATTGATTCATTACATGCATTGCCTGTTTGCCTCCAACTTCACACAAGTGAGCAAAATTTCAGTTTTCAGACTTTCAGTTTTAAGATCAATTGGACAGGTAAAAGTGTGTCATACTATAAATTACAAGATTTGTAGGTAACAAAATTATTTTTTCAGTTTTTTGAATATTGGAAAAAAATTATTTTCACTTTTTAAAATCATTTACCTATTCTGTCAATTTATTCATGCATTGTCTCCAACTTGCCATTGTCTCCATTCATGCATTGTCTCAAAGTGTGCCAAATTTCAGATCGATTGGAATTTGGATTTGGACATGTAAAAGTGTGTTAAATATTGATTATAAGATTTGTAGGCTAAATTGTAGCAGACAGACAGACAGACGAACAAACAACAAGAAGTAAAGTTAAAGAGAAGTGTTGTAAAAACTGCTAAAATTAGAAAAATTCTGAGCCAGCTGCTTCTACAGATAGATGATAATTTGTAGGTATTCCTGCTGAGCGCAGCTAGCCTATTTTTTCGAAAAAATTTCGACCATTGTTTCACAAAAAAACTCATACCAATTACCAAGTGCCTCATAATAGCTATTAGTATTAGCGGGCAAAAAATGGTGTGCTTGTGGAACGATGGAATGGATCACGATGAACTGAAGTAACGCTGGATTTACACATGCTCTCTAGTCTCTACGTCATGTTCTTTCTTCAGTCGAATGTAGCGAACGTTACCAGAACCAAACTACCTCTACCAGCGGCAATTGGAACACAGAACTGACAAATGGAATGAGCGTTGTCATTATACATAGTGGCAAAGCAGAGAGTTTTTTAGACTCTCCCTCAAGTTCATTTTTGAGTCCTATAAGTAGACTAGTAAAGTATCCTGGATACCAGCATTATTATACATAAGAAATTGGTATAAATCTGAAGTAAAGGAGGGGTATTATTGCAGATTAACTACATCCAATAAAAAGGGTGTTTTTTTTTTTTGAATTATATGTTTTTTGGGGTGTAGATTACGAATCTGAAATCCATTTTTGGCGGTCGGCATCGGAAAACCGATTTTTTTCGCGACTTACTAACATGGGGGTTACGTAACTTACGTTACCCACTCACCTTTATTTACTAACATGGGGGTCTGTCTCTTATACACATCTAGATGTGTATAAGAGACAGACCCCCATGTTAGTAAGTCGCGAAAAAAATCGGTTTTCCGATGCCGACCGCCAAAAATGGATTTCAGATTCGTAATCTACACCCCAAAAAACATATAATTCAAAAAAAAAAAACCCCTTTTTTTTGGATGTAGTTAATCTGCAATAATACCTAAAGGAGGAAATTAAAAATGAACTGATTCTAAAAAATCTGTGCTTTGTCACTATGTATGTCATATCTGCTAAATTTTAATAAAAATTCAGCCCTCACGCAATTTTAACGTCAAATAATTGATCGAAGATTGAATTTAACAGCAAATATTGTACTATTCTTTTGCATACAGAGTTACTAAGCGCAGACTGCGCAGTATGTACAGTAGTCTGTAGATGCAATTTCTCAAACTCAAAGCTCCAAGTCTCACACGGTCACACGGATTTCGTCACAAGTTAGTGCGCTCATCCGGAATATTTGTAACGTAATTCTATGCATTAATTAAGCCAATTCCAAACAATCCAGCAAATTTAGTGATAACAATTGGAAAACCACTATGAATACATAGTATCTGCTGAAAGTCTATATCTGGTATGACATCAACAAAAATTTGAAGTGAATTACTCAGAGCGTTTCTATGGACAAATTCAGCTGGATCACAAGTTCAAAAAGTTTCTCATTTGAAAAAACGTAAAATGCTGAATTTTTACGTCAGGATAAATTTGAAAACTCACTCAATATAGAAGTGTTCCTTCACTCTTGCGGTTCTAGCGATGGTTTATCCATCGTGACGTATGACGCGGTAGGCGCAGTACGTCGGGCAAGCTTCCGAGCCGTGAGCAAACCATTTACACCTAAACAAACGATGAAAACAGGCTCGCAAATCTTCAAAAATATTTCCTCGCTTAAAAAAACTTCAAAAGTTACTGAATTAAATTTCAGGATCATTCCGAGTAACTTGCCAAAACATGAAACACAAATTTTAACATTCTTAGCTAGTCGCAATAATGTTCGCCAGTGAAGCACAATAGTAAACGCACGTACGAACTGATCGTCAAATAACGATCGGGAGTCATCATGGAAATTTAGAATTGCTTGTTCTCCAATGAATCAGGTACCAATCGATGGAATGACATTTCTACATTTAAGCAAGTTTCTTCACCAACAAGTTTTCGTTCGTTATATATTTTGATTCTAATTCTGACCAGTTTCATAGGAGGCTCGTTTATTTCTGTGGGCCTTCAGACTGGCTACCGTCTCGGGGAATTTCTACATTGAGCAGGCTACTAGTAACTCTGCTTGCAACAGATATGCTCGTTGAACTCTTCACGTCTATTCCATCTTTTCGAGTTTTGAGATTCGCATAAATTTGTTAATCACGCTACGTTACGTTACTGGTATCGATAACAAAGAATCTGACGGAAAAAAATTCCAGGCTTGAAAAGCAAGTCTTACGAGAAAAGATTAAAGATTATGAAGCTTCTAAGCCTCAGTTATCGACTTCTGCGTGGGGACCTCATTGAAGTACACAGGTATACCCACGGTTTATATGAGGCCCAGAAGGATTACTAGAATTTGAAACAAGAACCAACACCATGATACTAACACCACCTGGTCGAGGCTATAAACTAAAATATATTACTCGGTACTCACTGCAGAGTGACAGAAAGCGCATTTTCTCGTCGACGAAAACATGAAGTCACGGACGGACAGACGGACATGGCGAGCACAATAGTGCATATTTTCATAAATGAGAAAATGCGCTAAAAACTGCGTTGTAACGCATCCATGCGACATTTCTTCTCACTTCGAGACACCGACATGTGGAACAGCCTCCTTGATAGCATCGTTGACGCTCTGAGTATGAACGCCTTCAAGTACAGACCAGACGAAGCTATGCAGGAGCATATGTTCAGTCTTAAAATGCCTAGCAACTTATGAACCAGGCAACAAGTCCAGCAGCTATCTCAATCAATCGTCAGTTATGGAAAGATCGGGTTCCAAAGGCCATATCCCTTGTCAATCGAGTCACGAAAAGTACAAGAATCGGCAACAGGCCATAGGCCTACGGTATTTCTTCAGTGCCGACACTTTTATTCTATTCTAAACGAATCCTTGTAAATGAGAAGGGCATTTATAAATCTTTAAAGACTTTAGTGTCGCTGGAAAGCATGATGCTGGCCGGACTGGAAGGGATCTCCACAATAGAGGAAGGTGAGGTTTGGTGCGTCCAACCTTAAGAATACAAGACGGCAGGGAGCTACAGCATTCCGAACTGAGCGGAGAATACCGTACGACTTAGAGGCAATCGGGCAAGTGGCGCATCCTGGACCACGTTTTCCTCTTTTCCTTACGGTCGCTGCAACGAAAGTGCAGAATTCCCTGCGGAGCGATCGAAGGGCATAATACCGTTCGTCAGGAGGGACGCCAAAAGATGGTCGAATCTCATTATGAGGGAAACGTTCATAGGTAGGTTCCCTAGGCAGTAGTAATGATATGAAAAGAAGTATGGGAAGGCTGTGGGGCGTTTACAAAGAATTGTGCACATGCCACGTCCAGGTGGGCAGACAGGGAAAGGACGCTTGTCTCAGTGTGGAGGTGAGTGACTGATGCCATTTTGAGGCAGCAGGTGTCTTATCTCAGAGCCGTGTTTTGGATAGTTTGGAGGCCTGCAACTGCGGTGCGCGACGGTACCAGTTATGGGTTGCATAGTTCAGGACCGGGTGCGCGATGCCCGGAGGTGGCAACGATGTCAACTTTCAAGAAGCCCCAGCTGGTAAACAGGGCTTTTTGGATATTTTTCCAGGGGGATGATGCCGTTGCGACAGCAGGTTCACAACATTGGCCTACTCACGAATCTCATAGGGTTTTTTTATGCTTTGCTGAGGAAGACCCTAAAGTTTGAAAACTTTTGGACATTCAAAAACTACCTTAAGGTAGACAAACACAACTAAAGTCGCCATCTAAAAACCAAAGTTTTTCACATTAGAATTAAAACCACGCTAGTACAACCAATGGGAAAACTATGAAGGAAATATCATCACGTGATAAAGAAATTTGTCCATAATAACCATGAAAATCCTACGCAAACAGGAAGCTGTTTGAAAGCATAAAGAAAGAAAAAACAGAAATTAAGGAAAAACGGAACATTTCCAAATTTTCTGCTTCAGTTTAAAGCCAAGATTAAATCCAATAAACTGCTCCGTACCATCTTTTTCACAAGGTAAGAGAAGCAACAATTTTGAATACAACTTCAATCTTAACAACTAACTCCAGAGATCAGGAGTTATAACTCAAGAAGTTGAAAATTAACAGGGTCAATTTATTGCAGAAGTATATTTCATAGGTATAGCCGGATCACGAGGTGCCGGCGCTACCCGACTGAGATAAATGCTTGACAACGTCTATCCAGTTCCAGCCTCTGTCTCGCTCCCCAGCAGCGTTCTGACGGTCCCACATTCGGCGCTTCTGATTCTTAGTCATACCAGAGTCTTTCTTCTTTGAATTTTTCTGAAACCGAAAAAGAATAAGAGTAATTATTGCATCAATAATCTGATAATATTTTCATATTATTTTCAAATCTGATATGCAGTAGTAAATAGCCAACTGTGAAGGTTAAAAATCAGTTACTTCACTTCATTCATAATGTAAATAAATAGGCAAAATTTAAGCTAATTCTTAGAAAAGAAGGTAGGTAAGTATTCATATTGTTGACTCAATATGTACACTGACAACTGTACATATTGTCAACTTAATTTTTGGCAGTTTTCCAATCACTTGATCCATATCACATTTAGGTGAGACAAACAGCTACCAATAAAAATTGATAATGGAATAAAAAAAGTAATTATGAATTAAACATAAGCAAAACTTACTTCTGGGTTTGAATCTAGTGCCAATTTATCCAAGTCAGCAGTAGCATCCTTAGCAGCTATACCACTTTTTAAATCTTGAAAATAGAGATCCTGTCCTTCAAGCAATGCTGCATGGTTGTCTTTAAGCCACTCAAACAATGAGAAGGTCATGCTCATGCCCAGCATGGATTCAGCTTGCTCTCTCACTGCCTTGACGATGCGCTCTTTCACCGACGGACATCTGTAAATGTGAATCTTGGTTTTTATTTAGCTGAAATTAGGCCAATTCATCTACATTCATGATTTATACATGGACATCCCACCACAAGATGTTGACTAAGATTTTGATACCACTTTCTATTTAAGAAAAAAAAAAGAATTTCACATGCCCAGATGAATTTGTGATAATTCCTTTTTCACTACATATATAAAAGAGGAAACCTTACATATGCTTGTTGTAAAAAACATCCATATTTATGAAAGGAGCTTCTTCAGGATATTTTTCTCCCCATCTTACTTCAAGGACAAAATTTTTGCCTTCACCAGCTTCTTCATACTGAAATGCAAAGGTAAAAATTACCTACTGATACATATTGCCCTAATTAGTTATTATCAATCATATCAAATTGTCATTGTCCTAAAGTTGCTCTGTACAGTGTTGAAAATCTATTTCATTAATAAAATTAAATAAAGCTCAACAATTTTTGAGAGACTATATATCAAACACATATACATTGGTTGTTGATTAAGTTTTACTTGTAAACTAACAGATGCTAAAAGGCATGTAAACCTATGTTACTATTAACTCAAATTATGTCCTCTGATTTTTAACACGTTTTTCTTAGCTTAGCTTCGCGTTTGTTTGTTTGTTTGTTTGTTTATTTGTTTGTTTGTTTGTTTGTTGTTAACATTGACAACAAAAATTAGCCCACTTCTGATTGTTCTAGAGATATACATACGTCAAGTCATACTTAATCAAGTCTTAATCGTTTTTCTTGTGGACTAAAAAGTAGAAAATAAAATACTTAAAAAAAAACTTTTTTAAAAAAACCACGTTTTTCGTGTGGACTAAAAAGTAGAAAATAAATTATGGTTCGCCCCAAAAAAACGTAGGTCGGGCTGTACGTTCACCATCAAATTTCCAAAATTTAAGTGTTGTGTGCTTTTCGCTTTAATCATAAATCTGCCCGACCCACGTTTTTTTGGGGCGAACCATAATTTATTAACCTAATTCCAAACAATGGTTCTGCATCATAAATTTATTGTTAAGAGAAGTAACATGAATAACAGAAGTGTTGATTATAGAAAAAATAGCAAGCTTTTAATCTGGTTCCCCAAAATTCTACAGTAATACCTCAGTTCAATAATATTTCTGATCTGAATACTTGTTCTTCATGCAAGAATAAAATATTGGCAGATGCAGTTGAGAAAACAGATATGAACAGATGCAGCTGCAGAGACAAATAAATCAACATCCACTTGAATAGGGTTAGTATGCAAAGAAATCAAAACTCTAATTTCTCTATATTTTATGAAATGGTACCTACATTTGGTTTTCATTGTGAATTCTGAAGTTTTGGAATTAATTTATTGCAGAATGTAATTGTATTCCAGCACTTTCAAATTTACCCATTTTTTGTGTGTAGCAGATTTTTAGTTAGATGATAACTCATGTGATTAATTTTGTGGGCAATACAATGAAGACAAGCTTTTGATCATAAGAACATGTTAGATTGCAGATCAACTAAAAACTTGACCAAGAATAATTTTGGATAATCAGATTCAAAGCTGTCTAACACATTGAATAAACAATTTTTGTTACAATGAACTTGTTGTGTTGATCGAATTTTTAAATTAACAGAGAAAAACAAAACATATACAGTAATCTTGACTTTTCATTGTATGATAAAATTTAGAAAAGTGTATACTAGAATTGACTTAGAGCTGAAATGAAAGAAGGCAAAATAATACTTAGTGGCAGTTACCCCAGTTTCAGAAGTTTTTAGGGGACAAAGTGCTACATTGCAATAATAAAGAATATACCACAACAATTTTGATTAAGAAGTATTCTTCAGATGAAAGAAACCCAAGTCAAGAAAACTTGAAACTTAAAACTGAAAACCTAAAGCTATCAAAAATAGGTAGAGATCACTTTTTGTCATTTCAAATGATTTACCATTTGTACTGGAAACTAACAACTTATTTACGTACTGTCAAATTAAATTAAATTTTTTGGTTTACTTTCGCTGATATAACAGTTTGTACCAGTATTTAGAAAAAAAATCCATGAGTTTTCCATGACCATCAATATAATTTTCCAAGACTTGTTTACAACAGGTTTAGCATGACTAAAGACTAACCATGCATATTCTATCATCCCCCACAGTTGATAAATAGCAAACATGTAAATGCACAGCTCTTCAAAAAGTGGCATGGCTCTTCAAAGCCGCTTCCCCCAAATTTGATAAATCAAATTCTTTCAAGCACAATGTGCATATCAGCATACCTTCATGCTTTGGATGGCGAGCAAGCCAGTCAAGATAAGTTTCTATTCTTAACCACAAGTCATGAAATTTACACTTTCCAGGCATGGTGATGTAGAAATTGCATGCTGAAGATGGAAAGCTGCCACTGCAGATAAAAAAGTTATCAAATGCAACTGAGCTCAGTGACCAAGCTCATGTGATTGGTTCTCCAATCACTTGACTGACGGTCACATGATTGGAGAACCAATTAGAACACAGGAAACAAGAGACTGCACAAACAGTTAACAGCTGCAGCACAGAAAAACATTTCCTTCTTTCTTCTTTTATTAGCAAATTCCGTGACTTTCCATAACCTAAAATGAAATCCAATGACTTACCAGGTCTGGAAAATGAAAAATCTAATTTCATGCCTTCCCAGGTTTTCCATGCCTGGTGCAAACCCTGATATAAACCATTGTCACCCTCAACATAGCCTCAGTCTCATGCCCACCAGTATACTCCCCAGACTTGACGGGCAATTTTGCCATCAATGAGGCAGCTGCAAATCATTGTATTCAAGCTAGCTTCTAGAGACTTCTTCCTCTCTACCTCTTCATCAGAGACTTTTCCCTATCTACCTCTTCATTAGAGACTTCTCTCTCTCTACCTCTTCATTTAAGACTTCTCTCCTATCTATCTCTATATCAGAGACTTATTCTTCTCTATTTCTCTGTCAGAGACTTCTCCCTCTCTACCTCTTCATCAGAGACTTCTCTCTTCTACTTTAGCAGAGACTTCTTCTTCTCTACCTATTTCTTGGAAACTTCTTCTCTCCTTCTCAGAGACTTATCTCTCTCTCTACCTCTTTTAGTCTCTATCAGAGACTTCTCTCCCTCTTTCTGAGATACTTTCCCTCTCCTCTCTATTGGTTGCTTGCCTCCTCCAAGCCCTCAGTGCCAGTACCCAATCCTTCCCCAGGTCCCCTTCCACTTCCAGCACGAGATTCCCAATGGCTGAACAATAATGAAAATTGAAAAGTGCTACAAAAATAATTCTTTAACTGAACCTTTTCACAACTTTTCAATGGTTTTAGCTTTAAAACAAATAATTTCTCAATCAATTTTGTTTTAAGTGTCTACAAATTATATCAATGAATTATTGTTAATAAGAAAAAAAAAACTGTAACTAAAGAAGCTGTCCATAAATGAAGAGTCAATTGGCTAAGATAATAGGAAATTGGGAAATAAAGCACTTCATGTTCACATGTTTGAGTTTGATAATCATGAATATGATAGGTATAGACATTTAATTTAAGCCATACTTACTTTATATTGAAAAAGTCTATCCTCCACCTGTGTAAAATTAAAGTCTCCTTCATAAATAGATTGCAGAACTTCCCTCTCTTCGGCTTGCTCAGCATCCATAGTTATAAATATAGGCAAATATCACTACTATCAAAAGCTAAAATTCATAAAAAAATATAAATCTGGAATTGCAACTACAAGTTTAGATATGAGATTTGAAAATCTCTCAAAATCATTTCTAATAAATCCAAATTAAGAGTTAAATCATTTTTCATATACACATCAAAAAAAGACAATGATATTGAAACAAATGAAATTATATGTTCACAGTTCGCAGCCTCACAGGATATTATCCCAATTAAAACTGGCTTATTTGTAGAATTGTAGCAAATTGGCTGTAGGCTACCCAGCAGTTACAACTTTCAAATATAATAAGGTTTGTCAATTTGCAAGACCATTTCAATTTTGCCGCAAACCCAAAATACCTATCTACACTGAATTGTGAATACACAATTCACTAATACAGCAATACCACTACCGGTAGTTTAAAACAAGGCACATGCCCCTGACACTGATGCCACATGTCAGCATTCAATCATAAATGGTTTCAAATTTCCATTGATGTTGCTTTCAGATTTAGAAATGCATCGTGTAAAAATCAGTCAACGGTTAGAAATTTTTTTTAAAGAATTGAAATAAATAGTCTTACTGATATGGTGACTTATAAACTTGGCAAGGTAAGCTATGTGGTACCCCAAGATGTAATACCCAGATAAACCTATCCTCCAACCCTGAGAACAAATTTGGGCAATGAAACAAATTGTTCCCAAACAACAGTATACTTAGAACTAAGGACCTAAACTCTAACAGCTGGTATTGGATCCTCCCCCAGGTAGCAAAACATATCCTTCCCAGGTTGATTTAGGCCACCCTATGGGGAAAGTTTTGGTTATAGAAATATGGTACTGGGCTAGCCTATGCCTGGTAATGGAATCTGTTGTAAGAGATCAATTGATAGATCATTTGACTGCTAATAATCTCCTATCAGACTGTCAACATGGCTTGATTGCCGGGAGATCCTGCACCACTAACCTCTTGTCAACTCTGAACGAATGGACCCGCCTGCTGGACGAAAGGGAGCCAGTAGATGCAGTGTACCTCGATTTTGCCAAGGCATTTGACAGTGTCCCACATAAGCGGTTGTTGCGTAAATTGAAGTCTTTGGGAATTGAGAGTAATGTACTCAAATGGATCAGAGATTTTCTAGTAGGGAGGCAACAACGTGTCAGTATTAATGGGTCCGTATCAGACTGGGCTTCAGTGCGCAGTGGCGTGCCACAAGGAAGCGTTCTCGGGCCTATTCTATTCATTGCGTTTATAAACGATCTGCCAGAAGCTGTGTCTAGTGTTTGCTCGATGTATGCTGATGACACGAAAATTTATAATACGGTGAAGAATACGTCGCAAAAAGTACAGTTACAAGGGGATCTTGACAGGCTGGTTGACTGGGCTGATAAGTGGCAGCTGCATTTTAATGCTGACAAATGTAAAGTTATCCACCTTGGCAAGAATAATGAACAGCAAGATTACAGTATGAGAAGACACGGTTGCAATGACAGAGTGATGATGTCGAAGTTGACAACGGAAAAGGATTTAGGAGTTAATATTGACAATGAGTTGAAATTTTCTAAGCATATTGAAGGTCAAGTTAATAAAGCCAATAAACGAGTTGGACTGATCAGATGCTCTTTCGAGTTCCTAGATTTAGTAACGATGAAGCAGTTGTTTGTTGCTGTTGTGCGCCCAAACCTCGAGTTTGGAAACGTCGTGTGGTCACCGAAATTTGAAAAGGACAAAAATTTAGTAGAGAGTGTTCAAAGACGCGCAACAAGGATAGTTCCGGGCTTGAAAGGCAAGTCCTATGAGGAAAGATTAAAGATTATGAAGCTTCCAAGCCTCCATTATCAACGTCTGCGTGGGGACCTTATTGAAGTACCGTAAAATGGGGTAACTTAGACCGGCGGGGTAACTTAGACCACTTTTCGTTTTTTTAACAAAAACCCCCAAAAACTCAAAAACTATTTGACATAGAAAAATTTTGTCAATGGGCATTAAAGGCCTAATACTGAGGCTACATAACACAATAGAAAGATTTAAAAAGTTTGCATATCTAATAGGTTAAAAAATTAAAAATGTGACCCATGAAAAAAAGCTATTATTTAAATTTCAAAGCCTGTCAGAGTACCCCTTCCAATTTTTTTATTTTTTGGTTAACTAACTCCAGGTTTTGATGCATTGTAGTAAAACTCTTCTAGTTACCACTGTGTAGAGAGTGAACGAAGATTTAAAGACCTACGGCGACGCATTATCGGCAAAATTTTTGCCTTCAGAAGATCTTGCCGACACATTTAGATTGAAATTCTTGCATTTAATATATTTTTCAGTCTTCAGCCAACTATTTAGAAAAAAAGTAAGGTTTCCGGTACGTTGGATGGATTACGATGCAGCGAAGCTTGTCCGGAAATCAGTTGCGATGAGTTCTTGCAAAAAATGTAAACAACATTTTTTCGATTGCGTAGTTTCGGTCGCATTAGAGCGGTCAGACTGCTTTATTACTTGTTCAGTTGACACTTGCTGTACAACCGGACTGTTATTAGGGTAAAATTAGTTATTTGGGGTAACACGTGCATGCAACCTTGTAATAAGTTCGTGGCTTGTAAATAGTTCGTCATTACTCAGCGTAAATGGCTTTTCATTAAAAATTACCCGGCAACGCATCTTTAAAATGGCCGGCGACGCTTTTGGCTTAAAAATCCATATATTGCCGACGCTGCATCCACCCTCTGCATAGTGGTCTAGTTACACGTGCAAATAACAAATTTTAGGAAAGTCTCATAGTTTGCAAATGGGGGGCACCGCCCCCCAATAGGGGAACTTAGACCACCTAATGTCAGTACTGACGGGGTAACATAGACCGGCTTGGAAGTTAATATAAAATTACCATATATAACATATTTTTTGTTTGACAGCCTATTTATGTTTTTTCTTTATGTTTCAGACTCTACAGTCTTATATATGGTAATTTTAACTTAATTTCCAAGCCAGTCAACATTACCCAATCAGGGCTGCCATTAGGTAGTCACATTTCCCTCATTATGGGGCGGCACCCCCATTTGCTGATTTGCAAACTATGACACAGGACACTTTCCTCAAGTTTGTCTGTCATTTGCATATGTAACTAGAACTCTAGAAGAGTTCTACTACAATGCACCAAAACCTGGAGTTATTTGGAGTCATTTTACCAAAAAATATAATTGATTTTACCACCCGGTCAGCCGGTCTAAGATACCCCAGGAGCTGGGGTAACAAAGAGTCAAAGACCATCACTTTTTTTGAAATTACATAAAGACTATGAGAGGCACTCACTGAGGCAGCAGCCAGCAATTTATGGTGAGTGAAGCTAGAGTATAAACCTGTATTTTGCATATTTCAATTCAAGTTTAATTTAGCTAGTAAAAAAATGGCATCATTTATAAAAAAGTGGTCTAAGTTACCCCATTTTACGGTATACAAGTATACTCATGGCTTATACAAGGTCCCAGAACGATTACAAGAATTTGAAACAAGAACCAACACCAGGGGCCACGGCTATAAACTAAAAAAAACAGCGTTGGAAACTTGGAACACATCCATGCAACAACATTTCTTCTCGCTTTGAGTCACCGACATGTGGAAGTTGGAACATCCTCCCTGATAGCATCGTTGAAGCTCCGAGTATGAACATCTTCAAAAACAGACTAGACGAAGTCACAATTCACGAAGCTATGCAGGAGCATATCTGCATATGTTCAGTCTTAAAATGCCTAGCAAATTACGGACCAGGCAATAAGTCCAGCAGCTATCTCAATCAATCGTCAGCTATGGAAACTGGAAAGATCAGGTTCCAAAGCCCGGATCCCTTGTGAATCAAGTCACGAAAAGTTCAAGAATCGGCAACAGGCCATGGGCCTATTTCTTCAACGCCGACACTTCTATTCTATTCTATACGCCGTATACGGCACTAACGGCAGAACCGTAGTTCGCCACGTTATGGGCTTGACTCGTGAAGCTGCTTCTTGCAAAGGTGTTTAGAAAAATGCTAGACTAGACTAAAATCTCCATCCCCACTGCAATCATCTCCATTCACCTCTATATGTAACCTATAAAGTTTTAACCGCAATTCACAACACGTAAAAACTTCTGTAGAGGGTCGAAGAAAAGATGATAGAGGAATTTCGATTTTCAGGATCCGCGTAGTTGTATCCTCTTATTCCGCTATCTACATTATATTAAATAACTTACGGTAATTGTTAAGAATGTTCAACGGGAAAATTGCACGTTTTTAGCGCATTTAGTCATTTATGAAAAAAATGCACTGTTATGCTCGTCATGTCCGTATGTCTGTCCGTCTGTGACTTCACGTCTTCGTCGACGAGAAAATGCGCTCTCTGTCACTCGCGTACGTACAGAGTTATATTTTTTATAATTACGGTAAAGCATGTGACTCATACCTTTGAATGAAAGTTGCTTAACTAATTTTCGTTCAGATGTTCCAAATTATTTCTAGGTAATATGAGAAATTTCGTTCAATCACAATTAATTTTTATTTTTTATCCAATTTAAATAGTTTTTTATTATATTAGCCACCAGGGGTCGCCTGCCAAAGACGGCAGCGCAGCCGTGCACCACCAATTTTGTGCACCAATAAGCCCTGAATCGAACGCCTTGGATCTCTCAGAATATCCTACAATCAGCCGTGCACCACTAGGCTTTGTCCTCCTCCGGCCTTGACCACCACCTGCCGTGCACCACCAGGCCTCGGATCGAATCTGACTTCCGGGCATCGTTAAATTACGTAATTTTAGGTTCACCGCATCTGAGGTTAGGTTTCAGATAGCATAGTTCTGTTCCAAAATTTATCGTCCTTCGACAAGTGGCCGTTCGACCGAGGGCTGGTTCGACCCACGGCCTAGATACGGACGGCTTGAAGTGTTGAAGGCTACGTTCCGGAAGGCAGGAATCATGATGGTCCATTACATCCAGGGCAGTTGTGGTCTTCGGCAGGCGACCCGCCAAAGACCACCAATGCCCTGGACGTAATGGACCATCATGATTCCTGCCTTCCGGAACGTAGCCTTCAACACTTCAAGCCGTCCGTATCTGGGCCGTGCGTCGAACCAGCCCTCGGTCGAACGGCCACTTGTCGAAGGACGATTTATTGCGGATGTCCTAACCTCAGATGCGGTGAACGTAAAATTATGTAATTTAACGATGTCGGGAAGTCAGATTCGATCCGCAGCCTGGTGGTGCACGGCAGATGGTGGTCAAGGCCGGAAGAGGACAAAGCCGAGTGGTGCACGGCTGATTGGTGTAGGTCCGGAGGGGAGCGCAGCCGTGGGTATGATAATTGACTCGTAAAAAATTGACTCGTAAACAGGCCCTGGGCCCAACGCCAACCATCAGCATGCAATATCTACACATAGCCTCAGATCAATGAGCTGTGGGTAACTCCGGCTAACACTAAATCCGCTTTGCACAACACAGCCACTGCTTCACAGCGCCGGAGCCCAAATGGCCGGAGCACAACAGGCCCTACGCCCCTACCGCAACAGGCGGCGCAGGTTAGGTTAGGTTAGGTTAGGAGTAGCTGTTGCGGTAGGGCCTGTTGCGCTCCGGCCAGTTGTGCTCCGGCCTGTATGCACTCCGGCCTGTGACTGAATGGCGCTGTTGTGGTGGGCGCTTTGTGTCAAAAGCCGTGAAGATGCCCGGCTGCGTTACGCACGGGAAGGTACATGAATTGCACTGTGGACTTGGGCTATGTTGACCTCTAGCTATCCACCCGGTCCGGAGAGATCCAAGGCGTTTGATTCATGGCTTATTGGTGGACGAAATTGGTGGTGCACGGCTGCGATCCTGCCACCAGAACCCGACCTTTACACATACTGTCTCTCCATCCCAAGAAAACCTATTCGGACCTGACCTAACCTCGTAGGCTGCAGAAAGGTTAATTAAGTGTCGAGCCAAGTGCGGCGGTAGAGCCTGTCATTGAAGGTAAAGATATATATGCTAGAAGGTAAAGTATTGAATGAAGTGAGAGGTAATGTCTGTTCACTCTGTTGAATTTAGACCTGTAATTGGGTTTAACACCATGGTTGAACTAATACAAGGTTGACCCACGCGCAGCTGTGCCTTCGAATGTCATTTGTTATTCCACCCGTGATGTCACCTTGGTCGTTGTGACGTCACCATGTGACGTCACAGTGTGATTCAAACTGATTTGTAACCCCTGTTTTGCTTAAAATAAGACTAGTTGCAATAATAATAATAATAATAATAATAGCGGTTTCAGCGTTATTAGGCCGTAGGCCTGTCGCCGATTCTTAACATCGCAGAGCATTCACAGCATTTTGCGGTCTCGAACTCGCAACTCACTGCTACAATTCCGCTATGCTTAACCGCCCGGCCTCCTTGCCGATTCTGACCAGAAACTGGCGCACAGAGCTGGGATCGAACCCGCGCCTCTCTGCGACAATCTTGGTACTCTGAACTTTAACCACTGGGCCACCCTGCCCTGCAATGAATAAATATTTTGGTCATTTTAATAAGGTCAATTTTTTTCATGGTTGAACTAATACAAGGTTTTCCCTAGAGCAGATGCGCCTCGCGGCAATCATTTGTTATTCCAACGGTGACGCCACCTTGGCTCTTGTGACGTCACCTCGTGATGTCAAACTGATTTGTAACACCGGTTTTGCTTAAAATAAGACTACTGTAGTTACATGCAGTAAATAAATTTTTGGGCCATTTTTTCATTTTTTTGGGCCATGACGGCTTTTCGCCGCAGAACGGCGAAAAGCCGTCATCGCCGTGTGTCAAACTTATATTAGTTCAACCATGCTTGCAGAGCTGGGCAGCGCTACTTTTAAGGGGACTGGCTACCCTCCGGAAAAACTTCTACAGTTATTATCCGATCATCATGAAACTTCACATACATACGTAAAATGTAAAAAAATAACATTTTGCTTCTATGAATTGAAAAAATTGATAGAAAACGTGAAATTCATAGAAAACGGCTAAAAACGGGTACTGTAGAAAATCTATCTTCTCCTACAAATATCATCCTACAACATCGAGACACGTATCATTCGATTCGTAAAGACCATACCTATCGATTCAAACATGGTTTTTTTCATTTTCCCCATAGTTTTTTTATGCGCGTTTTTCCCATTTTTACCATTTTCCCCCCTCCTCCCCCCCTTCTCCCCCATATAAAAAACGAACCAGACAGAAATTAAAAAAAGTGATAATCAAATTGATAGGTATGGTCTTTACGAATCGAATGGTATATACCTCATTGCTGTAGCTTGAAAACTGTAGGAGTAGATAGGTTTGCCGTGAGAGCAATAGGAGGTTTTCACCACGCCCAAAAAACTGGCGCGCGGCCCGTAAAATGACGTAAAAGAGTCGTAACGTAGCCTAGATACCGTAACTAAGCCTCAAACCAAGTCAGCAAGGCATAGAGCGACTAGCTGCACACCTCTCACCTCGCTGTCATGATGGTCACTGACTGCATTGGCGACAGCAGGCTGTATTTATAGTCCCGCCTTCCATTTACGCCCATAGCAATTAGTGAAGGCCCCCAAACACCCCCCCCCGTGTACGCGCATCGTGTACGTGAAAATGCACGTAGAAAGATGTTTCTGGTACCGTTCGACGCGTCAGAAAGTAAGTTTTAAGATGAGTATAAGCACCGGATAATGCCATAATTGGCCGCTTTCCGTCAGACGTTCCTTTTTAGTGTGTCCAGCCTTCGAATTAATCCCATAGACTTTACTGAAGGGGCCTCAAAACCGCCCCCCTTTGGAGAGCTGTCACGAAATCATTTTTCGACGTAGAGAGATGATTCTGGTACCGTTCGATGCGTCAGAAAGTAAGCTTTAAGATGAGCACAAAAACCGGAAAACGCCAAAATTGAAAATTTAGGGGTAGCCGGTCCCCTTAGGTGTAGCGGCGCTACCGCTACATGCTCTAAATGTAGCGGGCGCTACCGCTACCACTACACCAACTAGATTGTAGCGGGCGCTACCGCTACCGCTACAGTAAAATGTAGCGCCGCTACATTAGCCGCTACAATGGCCAAAATTATTGGAAATCTCTAAATATTTATTGTTCTGCTATTGGGATTTACTCATAAACATTTAACAATAATAAAACATTTTCAAAATATATCAATGCAACTTTATTGCAATTAACCTAGCCGAAATAGTACGGGTTAGATACAGAAAATAAAAGTTAGTTATTTTTATGTTTTACCTTCCCTACATGGATGTCTACTTTAATCTACCAATCTCAAAAATTATCCACATATACATATAAAAAATCAGTCTGTTATTTGTATATATATGTGGATAATTTTTGAGATTGGTAGATTAAAGTAGACATCCATGTAAGGAAGGTGAAACATAAAATAACTGTGTAAAAATAACTGTAAGCAAACTGAAACGTGAAAAAATACCTGTAAGTGGTTGCTGGTAACAACTTAACAAGTTGCAACTAGCATGTTGACATTAGTAACAGGCTGAGGTTGACAACATTACACCGAAATCTTTCATACAGTTTTATTTTGTAATTTATATTGTGTATGTATCATGCTGGTTTTTAAATAATATTTAATACTATTAAGTAAAATCTAAAGGCTTTATCAATAAATGTAGCGGTAGCGCTGTAGCGGCAAAACCTCGTATCGCTACTTAAATATGTAGCGGGCGCTACCGCTACCGCTACAATTGCTCAAATGTAGCGCCGCTACCGCTACTGAAAATGTAGCGGCCGCTACATGTAGCGCGCTACTGCCCACCTCTGCATGCTTGACACAGTGCGAAACTGGTCTCGCTTACGGTGTTCCAGGGTGATCTTCTATAGTTATTGGATATTATAGTGTTGGATGATGAGAGAGTGAGTTGATGTTGAATGTGAGAGTTAAATTTTTAATCAACGGCTGCGTCCTATCGTGCAACTATATTGTCCAAATTACTAATGTGCGTCTAGGGGTAACTTTACGCAAGAGTGTTATTTGGTCGCAAGAGGATATTTGTTTCAACCACACATACTTACCATTTGTGACAGTGCAGCCGAAAGAGAATATATTGTTGAAAATTGCTAAGGTCGGCCGTTATCTTCCGGCTGGGATTAAAGATTAAAGAACATTGTTACTTCCACTGAACGGGTAGACGGGTAGCACCATGGTTAAACTAGTATAGGGTTGACCCATCAGAAGCCCATTTATGCGAATGTAGTTGGTTGTTCGCCTGTAACGTCACTGATCTCAGTGACGTCTCCGGCATTAACCAATCACCAAAATGCGATCAAACCAGTCAACCAATCCGTCGTGGGAATGACGGGATTGTTTACGCATCTCAATCTACGTGACGTAACAAGAAGCTGAACTGAAAGTCGGAACTTCTCGTGTGTCGACCTTATTTAGTTCAACCGTGGGCAGCACGATGTCCTGATAGAAGTGAATTGAAAAACAACAGGATGCGAAGAAAAAGTAGCTTGAAAAAGTACCTTAAGAAATTTATTTACTTCAGAAATATGATGCGGCCTCAGCGGTTATCATGCTATACAATTTAATTCCACTGAATATGTAGCATTGAGGGCAGTTAGCGATGATGGTACGTCTGCAGAAGGATGTTGCCCACAGATGCTCAATATTGTGGCAAAAACATATCGCATCGTTGTCAATTTATGAAGGAAAGCTAATTTATTTTGAAAATTAGTGTTTATAATTTGACACACCGCAATTAACTCAGTTGGTGTAGAGATTCGTGAACGGCATGTTTTCTGTGGGCTGGAGCCAGTTGTACGGATCCCAGCGCGTGTTGTGTTGTTCTATGACGTGGAACGTGTAAACATGCCGAGACTTCGCTGAAGTATTCATTGCACTCTTGTGATTAACACTGCCGTGAATTATGACCAGTGATCCTGCACACATTAATTTCTTATTCAATGACAAATGAAATCAGGAATATTGTGGGCGGTTAGCAACTCTGGTACAAAATACCGCCTTTGTTCTAAAAATTATGCGGCTTGATAACCATGGCTCTAAAAATATAAAAGTGCTTCGTTCAATAAACTTGTTATATGGGAGCAAGATATACACATCTTCGGATATACAAGCAGGATATACACAAGGATCGGTTCACAATGAACACCAACAATATTATAAGCCTCAAGTTAATTCAAATTAAAAGCTTTCATCTATAGTTTTAAATTAGCCACCATACGGCCAATGTACGCACCTTTTCTGACAGGAACTGCTACATAAGTTGATGGATCGTCCTCAGCCGGTGATCCTATGAGTCGGGTTGTCAAGCGACCATCTGGCTCTTTTGAGCGAATGAACCTGAAAATGTTTTCAAAATAAGTAAAAATTTAGCTCAGTATACAGTATACTCACTGCAGTGAGTGACAGAGAGCGCATTTTCTCGTCGACGAAAACGTGGAGTCACGGACAGACAGACGGACGGACAGGGCGAGAACATTAGTGACTTTTTTCCATAAATGAGAAAATGCGCTAAAAATGATCATTTGTCAACAACATGCAACCCTAAAGACATGAAATTCATTCGTTAATAAATTAACACACTAAAATGCTATCGTAAATTAAAATAATATCGAGTTAAGTGTTATTTTGTTATTATAATAAATTAAACGTCTAATAAGGGTAACTTTTGGTATAACTTTTGAATTTAATAAAGGCAGTAATTGTACTTACTGCCTGTTCAGTGAAGATAAATACTTGGTGGCAACTGAAGAATATCTAAAACTATGTCTCCTCTCTACTGGCGTCTCTTTATATTATCCTTGACTCTGCAGAACCATTTCACTGATCGACATTAAGTGGACAAGGAATAAAAATCATTATCAAAGCTTTAGTAACTATCGAAGGTATTAATAGAGAAATATAACCAACAATTATTCAAACTAAACTATTTTTAACAATTACCTGCGCGTCGTGGGCTGGTGTTGGGAGCCTGGACTGAACCACAGACATCCGTTCTCGAGGGTTGCGTCCTCGAGCGCAAACCACAGCCCCACGCAGCTCAGCGGCTCCGTGGCCAAGAACGTGCTGTCCTGGTGTGGCGTTACTGAACAACACGACAAAAATTTAATAACATTTTCATTTAATTAGTAATATAATGAGAAGTTTAATACAAACACAACGGCATTTAATAAAGTCACCCCAGCATGTACAGCACAGATTGGAGCAGAGAGGCGCGGGTTCGATCCCAGCTCTGTGCGCCAGTTTCTGGTCAGAATCGGCAAGGAGGCCGGGCGGTTAAGCACAGCAAAATTGAATCAGTGAATTGCGCGTTCGAGACCGCAACAAGCTGTGAATATTCTGCTAGGTTAAGAATCGGCGACAGGCCTACGGCCTAATAAACGCTGAAACCGCTATTATATTATTAATGGACTAATTATTCCATACAGATGTGAACAAACTACATATTCTGTTGAAAGTTATATTAGATGATAGACTGCGCTGGATTCTTGATATATGAAATTTTAATTTTAAATCAATAGAAAAAAACACATTTATATGAATAAGTATTTCGTATTGCGTAAGTCCGTTCAGTCAATTAGGTCTATGACGTTAATTTAGACAGAATAAATTACTCGCAAGTCTTTATTAGTCTTTGATAAAACAATCGTCATATTGAGTTTTAGGTTGGTAATCCTAATAAGACTTTGCAATATACATGAGATCGTAATTTTTACATACATAAAGCAAGGCAATAATTGAAGTAAACTATAAAGTATCTGATAAAGCATCAATATCAAGTGTAAAGTATCTGATAAAGCATAAATATCAAGTGTAAAGTATCTGATAAAGCATCAATATCAAGTGTAAAGTATCTGATAAAGCATCAATATCAAGTGTAAAGTATCTGATAAAGCATCAATATCAAGTGTAAAGTATCTGATAAAGCATCAATATCAAGTGTAAAGTATCTGATAAAGCATCAATATCAAGTGTAAAGTATCTGATAAAGCATCAATATCAAGTGTAAAGTATCTGATAAAGCATCAATATCAAGTGTAAAGTATCTGATAAAGCATCAATATCAAGTGTAAAGTATCTGATAAAGCATCAATATCAAGTGTAAAGTATCTGATAAAGCATCAATATCAAGTGTAAAGTATCTGATAAAGCATCAATATCAAGTGTAAAGTATCTGATAAAGCATCAATATCAAGTGTAAAGTATCTGATAAAGCATCAATATCAAGTGTAAAGTATCTGATAAAGCATCAATATCAAGTGTAAAGTATCTGATAAAGCATCAATATCAAGTGTAAAGTATCTGATAAAGCATCAATATCAAGTGTAAAGTATCTGATAAAGCATCAATATCAAGTGTAAAGTATCTGATAAAGCATCAATATCAAGTGTAAAGTATCTGATAAAGCATCAATATCAAGTGTAAAGTATCTGATAAAGCATCAATATCAAGTGTAAAGTATCTGATAAAGCATCAATATCAAGTGTAAAGTATCTGATAAAGCATCAATATCAAGTGTAAAGTATCTGATAAAGCATCAATATCAAGTGTAAAGTATCTGATAAAGCATCAATATCAAGTGTAAAGTATCTGATAAAGCATCAATATCAAGTGTAAAGTATCTGATAAAGCATCAATATCAAGTGTAAAGTATCTGATAAAGCATCAATATCAAGTGTAAAGTATCTGATAAAGCATCAATATCAAGTGTAAAGTATCTGATAAAGCATCAATATCAAGTGTAAAGTATCTGATAAAGCATCAATATNGAAGTTGTGATGATGAAGTTGTGATGATGAAGTTGTGATGATGAAGTTGTGATGATGAAGTTGTGATGATGAAATTGTAATGATGAAGTTGTGATGATGAACTTGTAATGATGAAGTTGTGATGATGAACTTGTGATGATGAAATTGTGACGATGAAGTTTAATTTTAAGAAGTATCATAGAAGTATCATCATAATTTCGGTAGAGGGGTATGATTAAATGGCCGAAATAACTTTTGCCGCTTGTGTTTATTGAAAAACCAATTTCTCATCGAGAGTTTTCTCTGTAATTATTTAGGAGGGTTTCGTTACAATATTTTAGTTAATATTCACAGTAAATGAAGTCGGCTGTTATGAAGCAACTTAACTGGGGTTATTTCTATTTCAAAATTAATCGCGTCAGCTGGTACTGAATAATAATTATTCTTATATTACATGCCTGATTAATATTTGTACGAATATTAATTTTGCTGAATTACATTGCAGCGATGCTCGTCGGCTAGAATTCTAGTTGACGAATAGTGCATATATTCATATAACTGTGCATATACTGTATTCATGCCGGTAATCTATGATGAACAGAGGCTTTACTTTCAAAACTCACTTAAGTACACGTAAATGCCAAGTTCTTGTCTGTGATTGGTGGGTTTAGTTTGTAAATTTGCCAGGGATTGGCTTACGTAGTTACGACTTTCGACCCTACAGACAAGTGACTTTTTAACAACTTAGAATGAGTATTCCATTTAAACAACATGCAATCAACGTAATTTCAGCGTCATATGCATGGAGAACTCGTAACAATTTTCGCTGGTACCTTGAGCTGGCGTTGCTCGTCTAGCGCGTCCTCTTCAAAGAAGTAGCGCACCTTGTCCCCGCTCTCCAGGAAGTAACTATCACGGGTCTGCAAAATGTGGCAAATAATCGTATAATTTGGATAGGGGAACAATGACCGCTAATTCTGATGAATAAGTTCAATGAAATTTGGTCATGCAGCAATTATTCGCTGATGATCAACTTATAAAACCCTGAAGAAATGTTCGGTTACATAATCATTTTCATAAACAAACGTATCTAAACCCTAACATTTTTTATTTGATATAAATTTTTTCCGAAGTAGAGGTCTTAATATCACGTTTTTAATTTGGTGATCTAAAAACCTCGGAATGGTCAGCAGTGGAGAACACTGTGGCCGGGTGTTCATCAAAGTTGAGCTCATCCACAATCCTGTCACAAGCGCGTCGCAGCTCCGTCACCTCTCCGGCATTCAGGAAGTCTGGCAGGACTGCATAGCCATCGCGATGATACTGCAATAAACATTAATATCCTTGCTTTATGCGAAAAAATTTGCTTCACACATTACTATTCTAATTTTATGCGAAAAAATTAGCTCGTGCAATTAACAATTAGGTTCCCTAGTCACGCGCTAAGAATAAATTTATGAGAAACCTCATTTCAGCCACCAGAGGCGTGCAGCTCTACATAATTCATATACAATGATCGAACACCACATGAAAACAAATAGAACGCGCATAGTTGAATTCAGTCCGTAAAAAGATGATAATGATAAAACTCGGCAAGTTAACAAATCTAGTACGACTTCAAAATTATCGTCCTATGATAATTTCTAAAAACCAAGCGTGGAACCTGTGTGCACAACATAGCAACCTAATTAGAGTCTCCTTAGTGGAAATGTGGAAATGGCATCCCATGAATATTTTTTTTACTAAACACAAATTGTAAAGCGATTTACTTAATTCAGGCTGGAAGCGACGGAACCAACAAATTTTCATCGTAGAAGTGCTACCACAGACAACTGAGGGGTATTTATAGTGCTACGATTATTACTTAAAGCGAGACCCCCATAGCACTGCAAAAACGATTAATGATTATGGAGATCTATTTGCATAAACTCGCTATGTGGAAGACCTTCAGACGAGCGCACAAAAACACTGGTGCGTAAATCAACACGGTTGAACTGCGCTATTAAGCGCAGACTAAAATGAAATAAAATTATTCTATTTTTTGTGCTTCAGTTAATGTTGCTTCAATAATTCCGTGTCGGAACTAGAATCGTATCACCTCATTGAACAAAAGCGAACTTTAACATAACGTGTTGCAAGGAGTTTTTTTTAGCGCATTTTCTCATTTATGGAAAAATGCACTATTGTGCTCGCCATGTCCGTCTGCCTGTCTGTCTGTCCGTCCGTCTGTCCGTCCGTCCGTGACCTCAAGTTTTCGTCGACGAGAAAATGCGCTCTCTGTCCCTCACTGCAGTGAGTACTGAGTTATATTTTTTTTTATAATTGAGACATTTGCACCAGTTTTGGGAGAATTAATTTTATTCGTTGTCGCAATAAATGTAGCTAATGTGTGCTTAAATTTAATGTGTAGAAAATCGTTTGTCTCAAAATCTCTGTGTTTCTCCAAGCTCGAGCACAATCTACCTAGTGTTTTTCCATCAAACTTTGATTCAATTAAGAGAATTTGAAGCGTTCGGCTACAATTCACTTCTTGCTTCGAGTTTGGCAACAATCGGCGTTCTGCTAGAAATTCAATGGCTATTTTGTGCGTGGCAGAGAGTTCAAAATATGTAGAAATTTACGATTATATTTTCCATTATGTATAAAAAATCTTAACGAAGATGACTTTGAAAACTAGCAATAGAGTTGATACATCTCCTAAGTAATGAGTAATCGTGGGAATTTATAGCCAATTTAACAGTATTTTTCCGTCATTTCTATTCATTTGCATTTTACAATATTTAGGAAGAATAGCATCTTTTATTTTTGGAACAATCCTAACCCAGTTTTTAAACGAACATACTGTGCAAATGGGCCTTGAAATGATATATTTATTGAATAATGAATATACTCACTTCCTCCAGCCATTGTTCTGATGACTGCTGTCCCTTAGTGTCCATGTGGCACTATTGCTCGAAGAAATACACAGTTTCGATATAGTTTTCTGTTGAAAGTATGAACAAACAAGTAGAATAAGATATAGACAAACTTAAAAATTGGTAGCATAGGGTGATCGACTAGAACCTCAAAGACTTTATTCAAGACAATTTAAACAAAATTGGCTGTGGCGCATTGCCAAGTTGTCTCAATTAATTTGATTTAAAAACATGGCACGTAGCATACTGCAGACGATTAAATTGAACTTTAATAAAATTTAGTTGTCAACTGCATGCTAAAGCACATTTATTAGTAATTCGTCAGAGCAACTCTAACACTACTCTACACAACTGGTGGTGGTTGTCAAGTGTCGCTCCTACGTGTTCGACTGTTGGACGCAGTGTAAGCGATCCTAGTATATAAGAGGTCCTTTGATTGGTTTATCAGTGGATACAATCTCTGGTGAAACCTTCGACCAGCCTGTTGATGTTTGTTAATGATCTGATAGGACTACTCATATTGGAAACAAAATTAGGAAATTTAAAACTGATTTGTTAGTAGCAGTTTTAAATTTACCATAAATCTGTGAGTTTTAAGTCGATTTTCATTGAGTTCGATCATCGAAGTTTTCGTGGAAATGTCGATTTGGTCAACAGGTTTAGCTTGATTAACAATTTCAAATGTATTTAATACGTTTAAATGCGCTCTATTGAAATGTCCTCTAATATGCCTAACTACTCGATATCAGTTAGAAGTTTAGTTCAAGTAGAAAAAGGGTAAATTTCGGCTCATGAGCATTTTTGTTTTTTCAAGCACCCGCTAAAATTAAATACACGAGATAACACAAGATTAAAATGGTAAATACAAATTACATACATATAAAAGTTTTAATTGAAATTTCCTTTGTATAAATTATTATTTGCGCAAAAATCTACTAATTATTAAATTTATGGATTAATTCAGGAATGTAACTATTGATTTAGCGCGGCAAAAGGACGCTTAGACCATATGCGCAGTTGAATGCGCAGATGCGCAGTACGCTTCGATTATTCGAGAGCCGGCAGCTACAGGGGATTGAGCAGTCGTGCGAGTTGAAATCAAAGTATTTTTGTTTTCTTGTCAAGTTGGTGTATGTCAACTGTGGATCTTGTAAAGGCAAGGTAAGAATACTATTTTACAAATTTAAGTTAATATCACAAGACAGTCATGTATTTGTTAAGAAATAATTGTGTTTGTTTTGTTCTACGTGGACAGATTCTAAGATGGCGGCGATTTAGTGCCCCTTTCGGAACAGTGATATCCTACCTATTTTTATTTTATACTAAACACATAATTTCAGAGAATTAGGGGCCTAAATGATCTAGCACGACTTGAATGAAATCTGCACAATTTGTTTTTCTATACTTTTATTTCGAATTAATTTCATGAACATTTCATTCTTCAGCTATTGACACGCGCATTTTTTTTAACATGTAGCCTACCTACCCTACCTACTTGCGTAGCGGACGCTGGACGGGACGAGTGACGACCATAGGTATAAAGATGATATACTAGTCTACTGGTTATGCTGCACTGAAGTGCGTTCAGTAATTTAGTTTTCTAAATTTTGTCTAGAAACTTAGAAAGTGTAGCTATATTAAGAAGATACTGATAGGTAGGGCCTGTAGGCTATGAGCCCATAGCCTATTTAGCCTATGCGTTCTTGCTGTACCTAGGTTGGTATTATTGCAGATTAACTACATCCAAAAAAAGGGTGTTTTTTTTTTTTAATTATATGTTTTTTGGGGTGTAGATTACGAATCTGAAATCCATTTTTGGCGGTCGGCATCGGAAAACCGATTTTTTGCAATAATACCGATCATGATTTCAGATTCGTAATCTACACCCCAAAAAACATATAATTAAAAAAAAAAACACCCTTTTTTTTGGATGTAGTTAATCTGCAATAATACCCCTAGGTTACAGGCTAGGTACCTATTTTCTCAAAATTTTGTCTATAAAAAGGTATGTCCTTATAAAGGTTTCAAGCAATATTGTTTTTATAAACATCTAGCAGCTTCTAAGTTATGATTTTTGTTTGAATTTGAATGAAAAAAAATGTGAATTTTAGGAATGATGTGTTGATACCTACACCTAGTGACCTAAGTGATAGGTTGAGCTTGCTGTTTGCACTTTGCAGCAGTTTGGCAATTTCAATTTGGTGACTGTGTTCATTGGTGGTTGGTGGATCTGTTAGGTATTCACTTTCTAAATAAACTTCTCAATTGAGCTAGCTATATGATTCCAATTTATCCAAAATAGCTATGTGACTAGTGATGCAAGATTTTAATAAGTACCTAGGTAGGGTTCCAGTCCCTTGTCAGGCCTATGTATAGGGTAAACGCGGTATATTCCGAAACTTTAAGGACGCATTGAGAAATGAAAAGCTATAAAAAAAGAACCGTATGCGTTACGTAAGTTCTGTTGCCTTCACATGACTCTCAAAACACTTCACTACGCGTCAGCAACTGACACGCAAATGTATGACGTCACCATTTCAACCATCAATGAACGCATGGAACTAAAACAAAGCTTAATATAAAGGAAAAGCTAGAGAAGTGACGGAATTACCTACGATGTCGGAATATACCGCGTTTACCCTAGAATGTTGGGCATTTTTTTCAAAAATTATTGTGGGAAATACATCCTGTTGGTTAAAATCAATAATTAGGGGTAATTTTTGAAAACCATGTGACCATGGTCCGTGGGTAGAAATTTATTATTATTATGATCTGAGCTGAGGACTGAGAAACATAGTGACAAAACAAGAATTTTTAGAATTGTTTTATTTTTAATTTTCTCATCTACTCAGTATTTAAACAAATTATGTATAAAAATGCCTGTATCAATAATACTTTACTGGTCTACCTATAGAAATAAAAAAAACTTGGACAGAGTGTTAAGTCTCTGCTTTGCCACTATGCCAAGATTCCCAAGAAGTTGTGCAAGAGCCATTGAAACGGGTAAAATTTTCTGCAAGCACTAGCATTTTTGTCTCTTTCATGGCTGGCTTCTGTCTGATTCTCCACTTTGTGCTAAGGGATGCTTTGATTGCCCCTGCAATCAATTGCGTTATTGCCTTATTGAAGTTATTGGTATATTTTTGCAATATGGAGTGAGAATATGCTTGATTTTAAAAGTAAAAGTTTGAAAAGTATATGATTTTTTGTGAAGATTTGCAAGAATCAGAGACTGGTGCAAAATGTAGTTCTAGTTTTAAGGGTGAATAAGTAGAATAGATTTGGGTAACATTTTGAAGTAAAAGCTGCACAATAATTGGTGGGGCTATTTTATGGCTGAAAGACAACGAAGAAACTAAGAAATAGTTCAAAATGGTGTCATTTGTGGTGACTAAGGGGCAAGAGTGATGGTGTGATAGCAAAGGAAAAGTGGATGAATGAATTGAATTATTCATGGAATGATGGAATAATTGGTGCCATGAGTAGAATGGAAGAGATATCAGGAAATTCTATGAAGAATGAGGGAGAGAGTGAAGTACAAAAAATTAAAATTTGTGTTAGGGAACAACCCAACATTTGTAACTGTAGGATCAGTGACAACTCATTTCACTTGAATAATAACATTTAACTGCAATTCATGGGATGCAACACAGCAATAACAGATAGAATACCAAAGTCTTTCTTTTCAACTGTGACTTCAAATTTCATCTGTGCCTGTCTTATTAAGCAAGTCCTGTGTAGCTGCTGGCTCTTACAAAGGCTTGTAACTGAAGTTTCAAGTCATCATGATCACACCAAATTCCAAGTACATCTTAACTAGGGTCTAGGGGTGTGGGTGAAATTGTACATAGGAATGTTAGGTGATTTTTGACTCATTCTCATGTCTTTGGCTCTGGCAGCAAGGGTTTCCTATACAAGAGAACAAATATGGTCTACAATGTTTTTGTCAAATAAAGCTTCAACACTTTTATACCTAAAATAACAGGAGTCTCTGTGATGAGAACACAAGTCTTTGTAATGGGATAATCTATTTAATGGCCTGCTTTGTATCGTTTACCAACCCCCCCCCCCCATTCTTTTTAGTCATGTGAACTGTGACAGGTATAATATTGGGAGCAAAACTTTGTTCTAATGTTATTGAAGCATAACTTTAGCAACTGTAAAAACATTTGGTCAATTAATGGTGACATGAATAAATTATCTGTGGTTGATTTCACTCCTCATGTGATTTATTCTGTCATTAATGCTAGTAGATAATGACAATCTGATAAGAAGTTTGTGATGAAGGTTGTTTGTGAGATAGCAGGTGATGGATGCAGTTTTTGGACAGTCATATTATCAACATCCCTGAGGTTATTTTAAAGGTAGTCTTACTCACTCACCATTGTGGCCTGAAATTTTGTAAAGTTTTTTCTGCAATTGAATACCCGAGCCTCAGTTGGTTGTTTAAATTCTCAGCAGCCATTTATAATCATTCCAATTGTGCAGAAAAGGATTGTGTTCAGCTGTGCGCATCTTTTTTTACATTCCTGTTGTGACTGAGGAGTTGTTATATTACTGGTTTGTATAAACATGTACTGGGAATGGATTTCAATTTTTCATTTATGTGATCTTGCAGTTGGAACTTCAAAGTAATAGTTTTCACTGTTTTCAAAATTAATGGGTTAATTAAATGGAGGAAAATAATTTATTAAAGAAAGTTACAAGTACAGATAGGAAATTATATGCATCTCCAGTTGATATTTTATTTAGTACTAGTTGAGATCAAATTTCATGTTGTGAATGAATAGATTTAGAATCAAATGGTTTGAAAGAGGTTATGCATTATACCATTATGTACTGTAGGACATTGTTTGATTGTACTGAAATTTCAACCTGCTGTCAAGGCAGGACTGCCCTGAGCCTGTCCTGCGATGGTCCTGTGGCCAAGCCTGATGTCGTAGGGCCTTTCCATACTAGTGTGAAGATGGGCAGTCCAGATGTGCCATGTTGACCATCCCTCCTCTGGGGTGCAAGTGGGCCTTGCCTCATGCAGTCCAGTCTTCTCTGCATCAACTTGCCCCAGAAGCCATTCCATTTTTGAAAGGTTGACTCTCAGTTGTGTCCAAAACAAATTAAATTTGACTGAAAATAATGAAGGGATCTCTTCGAATCCATATGACTTCCAAATTACTAGTGTTGATTGAATTACCTTGAATCAATTTGTAAATTCTTTGTCTTTATATAGTTTACCAACAGTACAATACTGTTGATTTGCATCATCACTCAAGTAGATAGATCTGTACTCTCTAACACCCAGTCATTGCCAGGCCTATCAAAATGAGCCGAAGTTCCAAGGATGGTCGTTGGTGTGCGTTGGCCAGGCCGAGATCTTTTGGCCCCCTGGACGATGAGCCCTTTCATTACCCTATGATGTGGCCTGCCTAAACTGTTAGAGCCCTTTACATCCATGCCCATTTTGCGAGCCTTGGCCTGGGTGGCCAGCTGTCGGTGTCGCGTGCAAACAATGTGTACCAATTGCGGGTGTGGTGAGGACCTGTGTGCGGGTGGCCAGGCAGAACACCCTCACAACTTCCTGTGACCAATCATAGCCATTCTCTGCCACAGCACTTGCAGAAGAAGTAAGCATAGCAACATACCAAGAATGATCTAGACCCAATGAACAAGTTCTTGTTTCATCTGGTCGAATCTGCTCACTAATAATTACATGGTTTTTGTTTCAAGGTTCTTATATCTGTATCAATTCCTCTTCATGCTGCTGGATGTAATGCCTTCAACTGGGAGGAAACTGCTTCTGTCAGCATCCTCTCGATTGCTGCTTAGATATTCTCTCATGAGGATTCCTGCTCAAAAATGATTCTTTTGAGCAGAATTATATAAGCTTTGATTATACATGATAATTTTAACTTCAATTGCATTTGATGCATCTGTGTCTTGATCTATGGCATCATACTTCATCGTAGTTTTTTTCTTTACATTTTTTTCTCAGAAGATTTCAGAATCTAGACTTTTTTGTGTCAACTGTGAATCCTTTTTATTTAAATCAGCAATTGTTATGTTAAGCAGCAATAATTATATTATCTATTTGCAGATCTGAGCAATATGACGCGTATCTATGTAGGAGGCATTCCATCTGATTGTCGGGAGAAAGACCTCGACAGGTTCTTCCGCAACTATGGCAGGCTCAGAGATTGCCTCATCAAGAATGGCTATGCTTTTGTGGTGAGTTCACAATAGTACGTTTGATGATTCAACAAATTTTCAACTTATTATGTGCTATCTTCATTTTATATAATTACTTTGCCAGAGATCTTAGTGAAAAATTTTTCTTGATGTTCAAAAGTTTAATTAGGAATGTCCCTGCTTATCTTCAATGTAGTGTCTAAGCATTTGAGATGTCGATATATTGATTTAAATTTACAAGCTGGTAATTTTTTTACAAGCGTGATGAGCTATGTTGGCAGCCGTTAATGTCAGAAACTAAAACGGAGATAAAATGTTTATTTGTTTTGCAGGAGTTTGAAGACAGCCGTGATGCTGATGATGCTGTTTACGAGATGAATGGGCGCGAGTTGCTTGGTGCCCGCGTCTCTGTGGAACATGCCAGAGGAGTGCCACGGCGAGGAGAGGTATATCGTGATCGTCGTCCTCCGCCTTCATCATGGAGTGACCGGTTAGTTCTACCACACACTGAAACTGTTTATTTTTCCTTGGATTTTTTGTGAATTTGAGCTCTCTTCAACCAAGTTAAGTGGTAACTTAGCTCGGGTGTGGCTTCGGGTCCTACACATGGGAACCTGTTTGCCTGCTGAAAATACCTTATTTTCATCCAGAAACAATCCTTATGCCTGAGAAATCAGTAACTAATGCTGTATCAAACTATCAATTGCTTACCTGCCGTATCCTGTATAAGTACAATATATGTTAAGTACAAGATGATTTGTTCACAACTTGTCAGCAATTGCTAACAATTTGCTACAGCGCCATTCTGCCTACTGACTTCACATATTGGCTATTTGGAAGAAATGGTACCATCGGCGGAAATAGATCTACAATTTATCTCCTTGAACAAAGTCACAGCTTCGTTGAAGTTCACAATTTCAAAATCATATCAGATGGCGTTATCTAGTTGAGGGTGTTAACAAATACGGCGGATGTTCATATGAAATAACGTGAAATTTCGGGCTCATTGGGGGGCTATTTAAAAAAAAATTAATATCGCTCTATCTTATGGGAAAGTGAAGATTTATAAATGAAAGAGCATTTTGGGATGCAACTTTTTTGCTTTTGCAATAATGGAGTTGATCTTAAACCCTGAAGTTATGTATCCTGTTAATACTTTCATTTTATTAAAAAGTGAATATTCAGGGCGCGTTCGAATTTGGTCTTTATGTTGCAAATTCTATGATGACAGTCACAGCTGTACAGGTCTGCACACGGTCCAGTATCGACTCGTTCTCTTGTCTATAGATTAATTTCTGAAGTTCTACCTCACCTGCAGTGGCGATAACGTTTGCTGACTGGCATTAGAAGAAAGACTGCCATCATTCTCATTATTCACTTCATCCGTCCTGTATGAAATAAGAACTTTTGAGTTGACGTTCTTCGCATCGTATCATGCTACAGGTTTCAATTTGCCACAGCGCAGTTGTTTCTTCAATGTGTGGTTGTGTGTTTGACATGTGGATGGAGGCGACTGGTAATTCAACGGTGGCGTGAGATGTTGAGGGGGTGAGTGGTAGATTATCCGTGGTGTGATATGTTGAAGAGGCTACTGGTAGATCAGCCATTGCGTGAAATTTGAAGGGTACATGAGCTGTGGCGTGGCTTAAAGTAAACTCTGTTGTATCTCTTGGCAGCAGCAGTAGACCCGCTGCCAGAGGGCTGGGCGGTGGATACGGCCCACCACCTGACGCCCGGTAATATTACTTCGAATTTTGTATGAGCGCGTCCCCTGTTCTTTTGTTTTAATATTTTTTTCATTTCTGACAAGATTTTTCCTGAACTCGTGAGACCATGTTATCTTGAAGAAAGACAAACAGGCTTTTTATGCATGTGGCTCATTGTTGTTACTGTTGCAAGCCAAACGTGCATTTCCGTCATCTAGTCACTCACGAGAAAAAATATTCCTTCTATGCGAAAGCGAAATGCCAGAATGCTGTAGCAATGATATGATTTGGTGTGCGCTGTGTATGTGCTCTCTTCCAGTTCGTCACCTCATCACTGATAAATCATTGCTTCGGAACGTTTGGTTTCCGATCCCTGCAAAATCTTGCTAACTTATCATTTCCTTTCACATCCTCAGTAACGAGATTCTTAGAAAGTGTCTGAAAGCGTGAGTGTGCAATCATTTCAAGGCATGTTAACAATTTTTCCCATTTTTCTATGTTTTAATTGGCAGTCCTGGATCTCTTACGCGGTTATTCTCTATTTTCCGTTTAGTTATCTATCGTAGTACCAATAATCTTCTAGGAAGGCTTAATTTACTACTTTGATTAATTAAGTGAACTCTAAACTTGACTGTTTATGTCTAGGACATTTTGAAATTCGAATCTTCCCTGTATCCGTTGAGGTTTGGCTATTTTGAAGACCCCGTCGTGATGAGTATTTCCTTGTAACCCTAGGTACGGCCCTCCCATGCGCACCCCTTATCGAGTGCTCGTGGAGAACTTGTCGTCGCGCATCAGCTGGCAGGACCTAAAAGATTACATGAGGAAAGAGGCCGACGTCACGTTTGCTGACGCCCACAGGCATGCCAGGTGAGCGACATAAACACTCGACGACTGAATTTGGCTGGTTTTATTAGTGATCTGCAATATCAATAGATGGATAAATCTACAATATTTGTTGACTGAAATATGTCAACCATCACCAACAGAATTCACCGAACAAAATCTTTATTGAAGAATGAATTGAAAAGCAACAGAACAAATCTCGTGCAGCAGGCCCATCTAATTACAATTTCATACGTTTTCAAGTCAGCTCAATGCAGGTAGACTAGATAAACTTTTTTCATGATAATGCGGTGCATGTTTATTGATGAATTGACAAATTTAGCAGCCTTTTTTGCGAAATCCTTGATTTGGTTTTGAAGCTATCAAGTGATCTAATTTTTTTTCCATCAGAGACTGCTAAAGCTACTTGTTTGTTCAAAGTTGAAATTCAGGCCATCTTCTGTATTTTAAATGGTTAGTACACATTTCCTTTCGTGGTATTTTCCTGTAGAAAGCCCCATTTGACCGTGCGTAGGTATTAATTTTTAGTTATTTTCATAAAATCGTTGCACAATGGAGATTGTGCGTTCAGCTACTAATGAATATATTTCTTTACAGAAATGTTGGTATCGTGGAGTTTGCCTCGTACTCTGACATGCAGCGCGCCATTGATCGCCTGGACGATACCGAGTTAATGGGACGACGCATCAAGCTCATCGATGACTACAACAGGTGAGACTTGAGCCATGAGAATAGTCTTACATTTCTTTGTAAAATTGGGCAATTCGCTATTATTTATGATATATTTATACTTTCTATGTAGTTAGCTGTCAGATATACGAACACTGGCTTGTAATTCGATTTTGACATTCATGCCTGAACACATTTTAGTGACTTGGGATCCTAAAGTTGAAATATTGACCTTGTCTTAAATTAGTGGAGAGCATTCCAGGTACAGACAGTGCAATGTTCATTAAGCCCTATTAGAATGTAACAACTGAATCCAAGATTTATCTTTCAGAGGGTCAAGATCTCGTTCTCGACGTCGCAGATCGCGAACGAGGTCTCGATCACGTTCAGGATCTCGTCGTCGCCGCTCCTACTCATCATCTCGATCGCGCTCTAGGTCACGTAGAAGGTCCCGGTAAGTTTTATTAAGATAAACACTGTGGAATTTACCACTTCTATGTAATTATACATTTATCGTTCGGAACAAGTCTTCATTTTAACTTAATTTCGGACGCTTGTGAGTTGTGACTGGAAAGAAATTTTTATTTACTGGACATGATCACCGCTTTCATTTTCGAACTGCTATTATTCTATTATTCATTTTGCAAGTTCTCCGGTTCTACGTTGGAGCAAGGTTTAACTAATTGATGATCCACGTCTAATTTGAAATATTCGGACACTTGGGTCAAATAATCCCTGCTTATCTATTGAACATAATGTACGTTTCCAGATCACGTTCAAGGTCTCGTTCGAGGAAGAACACCAAACGGTCGAGCCGATCACGATCACGTTCACGATCAAGGTCAAAGGATTCGGCGAAGCGATCGCACTCCAAGTCTAAGAGCCCAGAGAAGGAAGGGTCCAAGTCAAGGTCCCGTTCTCCAACAAAGGAAAGCCCAGAGAAGTCGACCAATTCGGCGAACCAGAACGGAAAACGCGCGCACTCTCACTCCAAGTCGCGCTCCAAGTCTCGTTCTGCTGAACACAGCCCTTCTCCTAAGAAGGCCAGGCAGTCGCGCTCTCGATCGCGATCTGTGTCCCGTTCACGATCACGGTCTGGAGGAAGAGACTACGACGACAGATCGCGGTCAAGGTCCCGCTCAAGAACTCGATCTCGGTCACCGGCGGAGAGAAATGGTGACGAATAATGGGAGAGGAATTTGACCGTCATGTTGAACCGGAAATTGGTATGTGGCCATAGTGCACTATGCACATGGTAAGCTAGGTCATCTTAAGTTATGTTGACTATGTTTTTCTTTGCGTAGAAAGGCTTGAATTCTTATTTTCCAGTTTTCCATGTATAACCATTTGTAACGAATAGAATTAAAGGTGTAATGTTCCACGTCTACGCATATTCTTAAAATATACCTTACAGGATGTAAACGTTATCTATATTCGTTCGTTTCATTCCTCCACAAAGCGGCTATTAATAGTAGAAAGAATATAAAAATGGAGATCGTGTTAAAATATGTTGATAAGTGAAAAATCTCCCCGCTGAAAAGGTGCTGAACAAATGGAAACAAATGTAGACGCGTCAGTTTATTGAAACCTTTTCCAGCTCTCACTTGGTGAAAATAACCGTTATTTGAAGCTGTCCTGTTGAGCAAAATATATTGAATCGTTCATTTCACCCGTTTCGAAATAGCTTCGATGACAGTGTTTAGATGTCATTCATGTCAGGCAGGGAACCTAAGCCAGGCGCCCCTGTTGCTGCCTTCGACTGTGATTCATACCAGGTTTTGTTCAACAGCTGCGATAGAAGGAAACCAGATTTCATTATTGTTACGCAAAAATGTGATCAAAGTTTTTATTTTACGCTGCCGGCATCCGCAATATAGTTCGAGCAAGACCTGCAAATGCCGTATGCCTATGTGTTCTGAAAAAACGACGCGATCACCACTTGTGAAATGATCATGAAATTCTACGTTACAGCGGTCTGATAATGACTACAGTATGATGCAAATGTGAATATCACGGGGCCGCTAAAAAAAAGCCTCGATTATAGTCCGTGAGGCGTTTAGGTGAGCGTACGCTAATTTTAAATATCCATACAAAATTCCACTATTAGATCACGTCATAGTATAAGAAACGATCCTATCAATTTTGCAATGATCAATCGCATTTCACTCACCTGTTTCATTTTATCGTCGCCTTCGTCATACATTTTCTTCATGAGTCCCATCATGCCCGCTGAAGGATCAGACGTGTCTGGATCCTCGGGTTTGTTCTTTTCTTTAATTTTCACTTCCTCGGCGGTAACGGCTGGCCAAGACTGGGCCAAACGCTCCTTACTCAACATCATCACCACCATATCTGTCGCATTAATTCAAGAGGCGTCAATACCAAATGCAATTTCTTCTATGAGAGACAATATGTCAAGTAGCACAAGACATTAACTAGTGTTCTGCAAGGGTCAAAGCAAACGATATACTGCGAAGTCTTGCAACCCAATGGATAGGCCGATTTTTTAAAGATCGGTATCGTCAAATGTAATTCAAAATGTAATCACCATGAACTTTTCAGCATTGCTATAATTTGTAGAAGCACTCACCTTTCTTGACCTTCCAGAAGCTCTTGTCGGGTACAATCTGTTTAGCAAGGTTGTTGATGACAAGCTCGTAGTTTTTCCCGTCAACCTCGGAGACAATGAGAGACGCACTGCGGCTACTGAAAACACACTTCACATTCTCTTCATCGGAAGGTTTCAAGCTTGGAATGGTAACATACAACTTCACAAATTTGTCTGACTGGTCCCATGCTGAAAGCAGAATGATTGCCGTTTTATTTTCCATCATAATTCACTAGAATATTTAGTCACTGAATGAGATACTGTAATACAGCTAGCGACAAAATTATTCGTACACTCTATATTTTCAAGGTTTTCTTGAATAACTCGAAAATTATTGAATGTATGAGCTTAAGATTTGATTAAACTAAAATATAGATTGGTGTAGCACTACATGAAAATAGCACTACATTTTCAGAACAAAATGTAATTTCAAAACCTATTAACATGCAAAAATTTCCAAACACCTTCAGACAATTATTCGTAAAGTTGGAAAATACTAATAGCTGCATTAATAATTAACCAACGGTGTGTCCTTTTATCTTGATAGCCTTCAGCTCAGTATCTTTCTATAGTTTTTGACGAGATTGGCAGTGGTATCCGGTTTGATATTATCCCATTCTTCAATTGCGACTTGTTTTAATTCCTGGCGATTATTGGCAGCCTGATTTTTTATTGTAACTTCAAATTATTGCCATAAATTTTCAATCGAGTTCAAGTCGGGGCTATTTGCTGGCCATGGAAGAACAGTCGCTTTCGTTTTATTAAGCCAAGTAGTCATATAAGTAGTTTTCGACGTATGCTTCGAATCATTATCTTGCTGAAAGATGCATCGTCGCCCAAAAAACAAAGTCCGAGCGAATGTTTGCAGGTTTTCATTCAAAATCGATATATGAAAAACTGAATTCATTATTTCGTCAATTGGAACTAACTTCCTGGTGCAAATTTATGAGAAAAACCCCAAACGTCATTGATCCACCCGCAGGCACGGCTGTTGAGATTGTCTTCCTATGAAGGAAGCCCTACTTTTTTGCGCAAAATCTTCTTCATATTAATGTCCAAATAGCTCAATTTTTGTTGCGTCACTCCGTAATACTTGGTGTCAAAAGCCTTTCTCTTTGTCCACGTAAGAGCTTGCGAATGTCAATCGAGCAGCAACATGACGTCTGCGGGACTCGTCGAGGTCTGCGTCCAAGCAGGCCATGCTTGTTGAGACAACGCTGTATGGTATGCTGATATACGCGTTTGGCAATCTATTGGCAATGTCCTTAACACCACTCACGGATTCATATTTACCTCACGACAGTTTTAGAACTGATCCTTCCTGTAGTTTTGGCGTCCGTCCTCATCCAGACAACGCGTGTGCAGTACTAAACTCTACAATCTTTTTTCTCACACCGACTGAACGGTAGACCTTACAATATTCAGGCGTTGAGAGATGCTCCCAGAACCATTGCCAGATTTGTGTCGGTGAAAAACTTGGTTCTCAAATCCACATTTGAATTTCTTAGTCTTGACCATCTTAAAGTTTGCAGTCAAATGGCAGGAGCCGACACCTCTTGAATGGCGTCACCGATGATAATAAATGGCGTCACAAGATAAATTTCAACTGGAATAATTTCAAACCGGATACCACTGCGAATCTCATCAAAAACTACAGAAAGAGACTGCTGGAGGTTATCAAGATGGAAGGACATGCCAATGATTAATATTATTATTGCAACTATGTCAGTACTTTATAACTGTACAAATAATTGTGTCTGAAGGTGTTGTGTAATTTCTGCATGTCAAAACGTTTTGAATTACATTTAATTCTGGAAATGTAATTTTCCAGAACATTACATACTGCTATTTTCCCTATTACATACTGCTTAGTTCAATCATATCTTAGGCTCATACATTAACCAATTTTCAGTTATTCAAGAAAACATTGAAAAGAAAAAGGTACCTATACAAATAATTTTATTGTTCACTATATTTATTGCAAATTGTCTCAACCGGACTCGCTAATGGAGAGAAACAATCTTTTGTTTTACCACACGTCATAGCAGGTATAATTCAAACAATATCAGTCTTAAAACTATAATATTACATATTAATCATGAAACACAGAAGAAACCCTAATCAAGAGCTGATGCATAGCAAAAAATTTCAAATTAATAAAGACTTATTTTGATACTTACAATAAGTCCTGAGGGTAACTGTGTAGACTTTAGCAGTGCTGTCTTTGGTTAGTTTGGTATTTGCCTCTGTCACTGAACCTTTCTGGGATTCTTGTGACTTCAACTGGAGAAAAACAATTCATCTAGTTGCTGAATGGACCAACTTGAATATGCCGAGTTTAAAATGTTGAAACTAATTTCACCTTAACTTATCTCGCATTAATAAATAATTTAGTGATGATATGAATATTTTCACTTACTATTATACTAGAGCCTAGAGGTTGCCAGTAACTAAACTAGTTTGAACACATAAAGATGAACAATGCTAGCAGGAAAGATTTTGTTATACAAACATTTGAAGTCACAAATTTCAATGTGATTTTACTTACTCTGTCCAAAGCATCACTAGTTTTCCTTATCTGGATATCCAAGATCTCTTGGGCACATTTCCGCTGGGCAAGCTTTCTCAGTTCCTTCAACTCTTGCAGATCCTCAGAAAGCTGTTAAAGTAAATGAATTTATTGATATGGAGCAGTCATTTTAATCAAGAAATAGATTAGCTTCATTGCCAGGCTAAATGGCTCAGATGTGATACAACAATGATGGTAACAACTTATCAGTATTCTTTTGTTGGCACCCATGATAAATATATATATTTGTATTTTTAATGATGTCTCAAATATGTGGATAGAATAGTATAAATTCCACAGTATTGAAATTCAAACTGTTCTTTTTATTCTAAGTTGGCTACATTTCAATTTGATGTTGTATGTATATATGTGACAATTGGTATAGATTCTACGATAAATATGATTCTAAAGATTCTAAGATAATATGACCAAAGATGATGAACTGAGTCACCACCCATTTTTATCTTCTAATTGAATAATATACTTTTACTAGGTCATGAAAGGTTAAATTCTTAAATTCTCTTAGTGCTATCCAATTGGCACAAATAATAAATTTGAATTTATGCCAGCTTGAGCCATTGTATTTTCATTTCAACTAATTTTATTGGCAATAATGATGGAAAAACTTAATTAACAAATTGAAAGGCCTACTGTGCTGTCTATGGGCCAGGGCTATGGTTTGTGAAACTTGAATCAACATTTGAGTATATCAAGTTGAACAAGTTCCATCCTGTGAAGATCATCAAACACCATGCATTTTTCTCAGTTTAAAGCTAGTGTTAGATAAGATTAACATTTACCATGCAGCTTCATTGCTTCATTAGAACAGAAATTTATGCAACTACTTTCATTTTTGGATGCAAAAGTAAATAATATCAAGCAAAACCATCAAGCCCTTTACTTGTGCAATTTTTATTCCAACATTATATATACTCTTTTAGTCTCTTTATACTCTGAACTTGGATCATTTTGGCATTGCACTAAATATTTGATACAGTGGTGAGTGGCCATCAGGCATCAGGAAGAGGAAGTTATCTTCATTGACATTAATCACATTCACATATGAATATATTAACCACCTAAACATTATTAATTCCTCAAAATTTAAACAAAATATCTAATTTAAGCAATTAGGTATTATAAATAAAAATTACAAACTGGGAGTTAAACAAAAGAAGAAAAGTTGAGGATTCAATGAAGTATTGCATTTTGTATCAGTATCAGTCAGAATGTCTGATGATGAGTTGAAACTTGAATTTATGCAGTATGTTCATAGATAATTTCACCCATTTCTAGGAAATAGAAAGTTTTTAACAGAAAAATTAGGTAAAAACTAAAATGGCTCATTTGCATATACTTTTCAGAAATTACCTGTGAATTTTCATTTACAGTTTTACAACTGCAATTTCTACAAGATTCTGAGTGATAGTGAATATTGCCCAATAACTTAACCTTAACGTCCTTAAGTACTTCAATACTTCAGTTCTGAACTCAACTTGCATGCCATTGATCAATAAAAACCATAATTCTGATCAATATTTCTGAACTACAATTTTAGTATTTTTACAATGCATGTACACTTCAAGTCTTCAACACAAGTTAATGATAATATATATAGCTCTATTATGAATATGATACTGATAGTCTTTACTAAAAATTTCAGTCAAGTTTCATTACTAAATAAAACGGATCGTATCATTTGATTAAGAGCATTTGTAATTTAAGGGAGTAAGTGGATTGTCAATTAATTGTTGATATGCGAGCCGTGTGGCAGGTTGAACCTAAATTTTGGCTGGTGATTAGTGGAGAGCCATTAAACCCTGAAAGTTGTAGTAGCCTTTGTTTTGACTTTTGAGAATATTCTCGAATCAGGAATCCACAAAACGACTATAATATAAAAATCTAGTAAGAAAATTATTATTGTGATATATGTCAGCTCAGTACTTACATCATTTAGAGACATTATTGTTACGTTCAGTGGCAAGTTGACTTAGTAAGAACTTCTGGTTGTGAACTTGAATAGGCCGATGGTATCCACTAACACCGCCGAAAAGAGTGCAGTTGTTCTACTGTAGGAAATCCGCGCCGCCGCACCGACCCAACAGAAGAAAGGGAATATTCCAGAGTCGACAAAATTTTGAGGAAATAAAAAATTTTGAAACTAAGTGTGATATGAAAATTATTTATTACAAATTAAAAAATATTCTATTATAAGAATCCAAATGTAAAGTTTTTTTTCGTCCTGATGGTTTTCGATTCAAGGAGCTAATAAACGAATTTTTTTTTTCATATTTGCGCCCACCATAGGCTTTCCTGTGATTGAAAAATTATATTATTGAGTTGTTAGAACGGAGTGCATGCTGGATGCCAGTTGCGCTCCACTTCCATACGCTAGGTACTATTCCAATCCACGAGCAAAGACGCTATTAGGCATAGTAGCATGTTAAGTAAAGCTGCTTAAATCAATCAAGTCCCAAGTCATTTTTTAGTATGCTCGTTCTCAAGCAGGCAGTTCGGCATCTGACCTAACCTAAGTAGGTTTCATGGACTCTCCCCCTTCTTTCAGCCTATGATCGGGTCCGCCTGCTCACTTGCTCCCGACTCGCTACTTTCCCCGCACAAAATGAGGTTAACTTAATTAAGGTGCTTGTACACGGGGACAGTGCAGGCGGCAAGTAGATCTGGCAAGTGTCGGCCGCTTGGTGACTATCCGGCAAGTAAGCCTGTACCCGTGGACAGTCTATGGCGCCGATATCTTCTCGTTCCCGCCCGGCGCCCGCCAGTGCATCGTTAGAAGCCGTCGAGAGAGGGCTGTGAGAATGCATAGTGGGATCGCCTTCAACAACTCTAGTCTGTCCGTTGTTTTATACTCTTTAGTCTAGCCCTTGAAAATGCAACGTCGGGAACAACTAAACCCTGACTAATAAGGTCTTCTTTCAGATTCAAAATACTCGTTTATCTCTCCATTTTGTTGGGGTAACCGGTATGACGAACATTCCACACTAATTCATATTTTTTGAATATCTCAAAGAAGAATTGAATATCGGCTGGACTCCACGTTGTTGGGTTCTTCTCAGAACCATTATCGTTCAAACAAGCCATGATTCACTTGACCCAAGATTCTTCACAAGAGCGGCGCAGATACTCTCATTATGGCTGAATCAGCCCAACTGTCCGTTTCTCAGGCCGATCACATGGCTGTCCCTCTCGGACACATGCCGGCACATACCACTGAAGCGGCTGAACCCCCTAGGGGATACACGAGGTTAGTAGCGTGGACAGTTCAAGCGGCGCGTGAACTGGCGGCCAGCACTGTCCATGTG